CTCAGATAATAATTAAGGTATAATCGAGTACGTAATAATTTCTTAAATGGTAAACTACACTATACTAGTTAGTATTCGTTTCACTTTATGATAAGTGTAATAAATAAGGATTACGATTACATTGAAAAATAACTAACGACAAGTATAACACACCAGAATTACAGATAAATGAAACTTTTAAAAAAATTTATATTGTTATTATTTTAAAAATTTTATTTTCGTACATCCCCTTCTTTGAATTTTTTTCCATTCCGGTCACTCCACCGGTCCATTATTCTCCGCCATTTTTCCCTCTATTTTTCCCTCTCGGTGAAAATCCAGCGAGTTACCAAGTAGTTTTCGGGGAAATTCCAGATATCTCGCAAATGAAAATAGAGGCTTATTGCGTGTCGTGGTTCGAAGTTTTTGACATCGATAAATCACTTTGCTCGTTGTTGGCGCGTGAAATTTTTAGCACACTATGAGTGGTATACTAGCCATACATTTCGCCATTGTCCTCGGATATCTTCGGCATACGAATGGATCACTAAGCGCGTTTGACAGGAGAGGCTGTATTTCACGGTGATTTGCAGAAGTCGATGACAAGTGGCTGTCGATCTTCTCGTTTTTAGGAAGCAAGGTTGAAACGAACATTTCTATTACGAGGCAAGCAATTTGTGCGAAACTTGACGATGCGAAAACGCATCGATATTGTAAAATTAAAAATCTTCGCAAAAATATGAATTTTCGTAATATCTAATAATTATATAATTTTCACAATGTGATCGGACAATAAATAATTTCAATTAGAAATAATTTTATTTTACTAAGGATTAATAATATGAGACACGAACAAGTTAGAGTCATTCAAATATTATTCATTATTTGCGATTGTGAAATATCTGTTTACAAATATATTTTTCTCTATTTTCTTTTCCACACGAAAAGTATTTTCGACGTAACATATTTACGCGTTTAATATAATAAAATTACTTTGAATATTTTTGCGGTTTCCTCACATCTGCTTTGACGCGTCGCGGTTCTGACAAAAGAATTCTATCCAATTCTGCCTCGTTTTCTGCATACGTCAACTGCTTCTTCATATTTGAACATGAAAAAGAGAAGTTCCATATTTTTTGCAATTCGTTCAAAAGGAATATTTATTATCTTTCAACATCAAAGAACATAATATTTGCGTTAAAAATGGGCACAGAACAATGGCCTCTTCGAAAAAAATGTTGCAGTGCGTTAAAAACTCAAAAATTTACAATCAAAGAACATAATTCGCATTAGTTTTCTCCAAAAATAGACGTAGATGAGCGATAAATTTTTTGACAAAATCCTTCTCTAAAGTTTTAAAAATTTTTCGACGCGCGGATGATAATATTCACGTATTTAAAGAAAATGTAAAAGTTTTTCTTATCACAGAAACGGAAAGGCAAGAAAAACTTTTTGGTGGAAAAAAAGCAGCTTTCGAGGTTTTAATGCAGTGTAAACGTTCAAATTCCGGAAAAATTTCACCGTGGCCTGGTGAAAAAACAATGCGCTCGCGATTTGCATCGCGATCATCCAGTAAACCATTGTAAAGTCGATAATGGACGTCGTAACAGGTTCTCCTTCGACTTCTTGGCCTTCTGAATTTAACCAAAGAACGTCGAGGCTGCTTGCCAAAATGTTTATGATGACTTCTTGAACTAATATCGAAGTTCGGAACAACCTGGAACCACGCGCGATCACCATTTTAAGATACTAATAAATTACTACCGGATGTTTCATCTTGCAACGTTAGATTTGGTTAATAATAAATGTACGTCGAAAGAATTTTGGTATCTCCTTGATTTTGTAAAACATTGAACACTTCTGATTTTATTAGCAATAATTATGAATAGACTTTCTCTCATTGATTGTAATTTATTTATGTATAGTATTTATTTATGTATAGAAATTACATGAAATTAGTTGATATGTTTGAAGTGAAACATATACAAGACTGATAATGAATTTTTTGATATAATTTTGAAATAGTAAATTGGAAAACATGAGCCTACATGTACCTCAAACTCTGCATAAAAGTTTCAACAGAACAAATTACTAGGAATTTAGCAGGAACAAATTACCAAACATAAAACCGAATTGTTTAATTGTAAAATCCTTCTATTCCTGTTTTAAATACATTTCTCTGATATTTCGCAGATTCCTATGACTCTAGACAAGTATATATTGTATAACACAAAGGAAACACTTCGATTTCAAAAAGGGATCCACAATTCTTTCTTAACATCAGAACTATCGAAAATATAATATTTGTAACAAAGAAATTAAAATGCAAGATGCGAAAGAAATTGAACAATACAATAAAGAACACAAGCTTGTGTCAATATATTTTATTAAATCATTCGAGTATCTAAAAATAGACTGTTGTAAGCACAAAAAAAATCTCTATAGAAAATTATAAATTGCTCATTTTTAGCATTTTGGTGGTTCCAGTGTTAAGCAGGTACTCACTATTAGCAATGGGGGATCGTGTTTCGCGGGTGAGAGGATCGGAGACGCGATAATAGGGGAGTTCCGAACAAATCTGAAGGAGTTATCGTTTCCGGCCGCTTTCGGCATTTCTGTTGGAAAGAATCGCTTTAGCGGTCTTAAGGAGCGTCCATTGTAATTCCATTATCACCTTCTCCCCCCCCCCCCTCCCACCCCTCTCGCGAATAGCATTAGCATAATAACGGACGGCACTTTTTAAAAGTTCGAGCACGAAGGCTCCCCTCGCTTCCCTTTCATTCGCTTTCTCGAAAGGGATCTCATCTGAACGCGATAGCGTAAGATGCCGGAGCTTTAGAATGTAATTGAATTTAAATTGCGAAATTATGATCGCGCGGTTGGTATCGCGGTAAGATCGCTCGTGTCGAGGCGCGAGCGAGTTGTGCGAGATCAACGCGAGAACGCAAACTTGTTAACTGTACGAAAAATATAGGCTGATCTATGCGTGCCCGTGGCTTTGAACGACGGATAATTAATTGAATGTGGGAATGTCCACAATCGTTTTGTTCAACGATTCGCGAACATGCGAATGACAATTTCAAGAAGTGGGAAATGACTTGATTCTGACTTGAAAATGATTATCAATATTCAGTTGTCAATATCATATTTTCCCTTTTTAAGACACGCAAAAGTACGATTTAAAAATTTTTCCAGCTCGATCAATATTATTACGAAGATGTAAATCTTTATTTTTTGCAATATGTTGTTCGCAATTAATTATTTTATTATGTTTATTATATATATGTTATTATATATTATTATTGTATATGTTATAATATACAATAATCTTATATATTATTATTGTATATATATTATTATATACAATAATCTTATTGTTATTATATTATTACATATAATAATCTTAATTATTTCTTTAAAAAGTGAGAGTATCAGATTTGTGTTTGATTATTTGGATACGAAGTTTAGATCGTTAGAAGGGGTGAACTTTTTATTCACCCGTTATACGAAAGAGAAACAGAAAGGTTATTCCTCCCGAGTAGGTCGGGCCATCTATTTCAGGCTTGGGGCAATTCGCCAAATTTATGTTAATTGTGCGAATTTTCATTTCTAGCCATCTGTGAACGATGCACATTTATTATTTTCATCCGGATTACATAAAGATCTGTACGTGATTTTTATTTGCATCAAACGTTTCTCTATTCGCAGCTTAGAGTACAGCGTTTCCAGTACTATTATTCATTCGACTAAAACTTCGTTATTGTGCTAAATTACTTTATTTCATGTACTTGCTCTATGAAATACGTGTTAGGATTGTCATTAAAATTTTTAAAAGGAGTTGGAAAAAGGAAATTTAAGTTAGACTTGCTTTTTAGTACAATTATTCGCAGAATTATGGCCTAAATGTAGTTAAACACTCTCAGATTATAATTTTTACGCTATAAAATAAAAGTCTTTCCTCGTGATAAGTTGCTGGTGTTCATGCATCTTCATATTAAAGAAATGGAACGTAAGGAGAAGTTTGTTTCACTCACTAAACGTAGGGAATATTCTACTTTGAATGTTTTACATCTCATCTTTATTCCGTATATTTTGTACTTTAAACTTTCCATAAATGCATGAGACGCATACATTTGTAATGTATCTACATCTTTTTAAAATTTATTTCCAGTATCTAGATTTGTTTCTGTCGAGAGTCGCACTATTCAAATCATAAGTCATGTATGAAATTATTCGTAAAAAAAAGAAATATTCAGTTCGTACATAACATCGAATTATAAATCTTACGATAGAATTATCAACTGAAGTAGAAACTTCAGAGAACAGCAAATATTTATAGTATAATAAAGAAGTTTAGCTTTTATTTAGATATTTTACGAAAGTAAATTTTAATTTTCAAAGATTTCATTTCATTAAAAATCATTCAAACTTTGAATCTATCAAATTTCTACAAATTTATAATTACAAATTATCACTTACTACACTGCCGTTTTATACACTATTTGAAAAAAAAGAGAGAGAGAGAGAGAAAAAGAAAGAAACACTCCTTTTCCCGTTTTCGAAAGAAGAATCGCCACGTGTTACGCGCACCGCTCCATTGTCATTCACGGTACTACTTGCCAGCAGCCGCGTAATCGATGGCACAGTTCAGCAATAAAACGCGCAGTGACGCGCGATTCTATCGCGGCGACGTACGGCGACGCATAAATCTGTCGCGAAAAAAGAAATCGAGCCGCGTGCCGGCCAATCTCGATCGGTAATTTTACTTCGTGAGCGGCACTAACGTTCCCCCGCAGTCCGATTGTCCCCACGGCTCGTGCAACAGCCGATCGAGCCGCCGACGTTTCCGGCACTCGGCCCGCTTTTCGATCACCTCCGATCGATCGATCGTTCGTCGCCGACGTCGTCGTCGTCGTCGTCGTTGTCGTCGTCTTCGCGTAACGGTGCCACGGATAAATGCATCCAGCTCACAAGGAGCTCGAGAAAGAGGGAATTGATCGGCAACGATTCACGATTTCCAGGGTGACAGTGGCGCCTACCGATCCAGAGCTAATGTTGGCATCGCCGCCAGTGCTTTTGGAAGAACGGGCAGCGGTCTTCCGAGTTGCAGGAACAGCTACTCGTCGTCCATTGGTTCCGGTTCCAGCCGAGTGCACGGCAAGGAGAGAGTTTCCGGGTTTGGAAACGCTTTCCTGAAGAAAGACAAGGAGGAGAAACCTACCTTCAAGTATTCCAGTAAGTTGCCTTCGTGTATGTACGAAAGTTTTTGGCTTGTCACATCAGGTTTCTAACGTTTGCTGTTGGAACTTGGAAAATAAGAACGATTTTTAGTATCGCGTTAGATTCAGGGTATTAAATTCAATATAAAATAGAATAATACAGTATAATATAATATAAAGAAAATACAGTAGTATGAATGGAATATACTATAGTTTATAAGAGTCTATAGGAGATGGAGAATACATAGGCGTCGTTGTTAAATAGAAAATTACTTTTTTATCGTAATAGCGATAACAGTCGCTTCAGTAATAACAATAGCAAGTGGCAACGAGATTAAGAGTTTATAATAGAAATTTTTGAAAAGTCTCATTAAAATTATTAGCATTTTGAAGAAAGCAGGTGTTTTTCATGGGTGTTTATTAAATACATAAGATTATTGGGAGATTATTAAAATTAGCTTGTAATCATAGTTAGTTATTATAATTAATATAGGACTGATTAACGATCGAAACAACAACGATAATTTTTTTATGAAAACCTGCAATGTCATAATTTGATGTGAGCGCAAACGAGTCGAATAAACAATAATTTTCAATGCACAATCTCTCGATATAACAGAATATACGACAACGCAGACGCGTTCGAAAAAATTAAAATGTGTGTATGTTATTTTTACTTTGAAGTATCCATTCCGCTGTGAATAATAAACAAAATAAATAAATTCGCGAGTATAATTTATCACAGAGATTTTGTAAATTTATATATACCGATACATTTTTACGACTCCGAATAATATTTTGTAAAATATATATCAACTCGTAACGTACATTCGTCGTGTTTCCTTCGTTCGTGCAATAAATACGAGAATAGAATGAATTTACGTTGCAACGCGATTGATGGATAGAAACTTGCTCTCTGTAATATCTCTGACGCAAGTTCCATATTTCGCTCGACAATGCTCGAAGCATTAAATAATTGAATAAAGGCAAGCGAGGGCCCAAAGGCTGATAGTTTAATGATTTTTTCAGGTAACAGGGACACGGACAAAGGCAGGCTGCATCCGAGTAGGTCGTCGACAGAGGACGCAGGGGCGAAAAGTCCATTATCGAGCAGCAGATCCTCTCTGTTCGAGAAGTACTCGTTTCCAGCTACTAAAACTTCGGAGAGGCCCGCCTCCGTTTTGGACAGATATAACCGTGCCACTTCCCGCGAGAAGAGCAGAGAGCCCGACGGTGTATCGCGATACGGATCCAACACGTATCCCGGATCGAGTTTGGCCCGAACTTATGGAAACGAAAGTAGAATCGAGAAGAAAGAGAGGGCCGATCATCCGCCGGTCTCCTACCGTGGATTACGGCCCAACTCCGGCAGAAGTTCCCGCGAACCTAGCCCGGAAGTCAACGTCGGAAAATCGAATTCCTTCAGAATGTATTCCAGAGCCCCCTCTTACGGTCGATCCAGTGCCACTTCTAGTGAGTGAATTTTGTCTCTCTCTCTCTCTCTCTCTCTCTCTTTCTTTTTTTTATACTCATTTTGTTGGAAACTGAGTTCGATTATTCGCGAGCTGAAAATACAGGAGAAATGAGAAAGAGAAAGTTGCGTGAAGGAATATTTCTGATTTTATTATACGTAATTTAGTATTAATAAATAACAAGGTATTTTTTGACAAACTTTAAATTCAGTATTTTGTAAAGATATTTGAAAAAACAAGACGAAAGTCAGTTTCAGATATTCCAACGAGTATTTTGTATATCTTATTTTTTTACTGATATTTTGTCATGTCAATGAAATGTACATTTTGTATGTTATTAAGTTACCTTCGATTCATTGATTAATACCAAGCATTTTTTGCTTCTTCTTATCGTCATTGTACGAAATATTCCACAATAATATTTTATTCCATGATAAAAATAATTTCACTTTCCTGGCAATCCTCCGGTATTTTAGTCGTGGAATAATATTCCCGTAAACGAATTCTAAATTTATGGTCCCATAATATTGCGCGAGACATGATACCAGTTGGTAAGTAGTAGTTCTCTTATCCCTTGGAGAATCGTAAAACAGTATAAGAAGCTTTTCACACGATATTTATAGCTATAAATTTTCACACTTGAGAGCAATGGATCCCACAGGAAATGGAACTGCAATTTGTTCTAAATCAATATCCTGTCCGAGATCGTAATGAAGAATATATTCTGTCATCATATTTAATGTCTTTAATCTTTCGTTTAAACGTAATGTATGCGACATATTAATAAATTTACTTCGCTCAGTTGTTTTATTTCGCACAGAATTTAGAAAATAATCTGGATGTCAACGAATTTTGTAACAATTTTATTCTATAACATATTCTTAAGAAATGGCACTTCCGTTATCCTAAACATCTTTCAAGTTAAAATTTACAATTAGTAATTTCGTCTCTTTGACTCAAAAATTTACAGATAATATAATTTTTAATTAGGAAAAAGGAAATATTTTATTTCTGAACGAAATAGTGAATTGTAAATACAAGATGAAAGAACAAAGTTTGCTACATTGTAGTAACAATTGATAATTCGAAAATCATTCAAATTCTTCTCGCATAACGAAGAATTCCCATGGTTATAATTCTTCCGTCGTACAATAATCAATCGATCCAACAATAAGAAAAACTTCACTCGACAAACGATTCTCACACGTTCGTAAATAATTGCAGGTGCCTCGGAATCGAGCTCGGCGCCAATCTCCTCGAGATTCGGCTCGACAGCTGGCAGCAGGTTTCTTTCGTCAAGAGGCAGCAGCGATCGAGTTCCGGCAGCCATAAGCTACTCCGGATCGGACAGGTTCCGAACTTCAGGCAGTAAGCCTACGCCGGCAAATTTAAAGGACGATGAAACCGCTAAGTCTAACCTGGAGAAGAAAACCGCTCCAGAAACGTATTCCGCTGCCGTAAAGTCCGAGGAATTGAAAGCCGACAACAGACTTCAGAACAATGAGACAGTTACGATGGTGACAAGAGGTACGTCGCCCGGTCCGCCGGCTTCCTCGTCCTTTGTGAGGAGCAGAAGGGCCGACATTGGCATTGCAAATCAAAGGGAAGTGACGCGAGTTCGAAAGAAAACGGAGACCAAAGACCAGGAAGTTCAAAGCGAGAGACCCGACGATAATTCGAGATTCTCGCGATACGGTGGCGGCGGACGAATCCCTGGGTCTCCGTGGTCCGCGTATTTGGACAAATTTTCCTCGAATTCCAGCGGAAGCGGCGTGTACGGCAGAGGCTTTAACGGCGGCGCGGCCAACCCCAGAGTAAATAGTTTCGCGTTCTCGAGGTCGAACGACGCCTCGAGAAACGACTCGACTTCGAAAGTATCACCGAGTTCCAGTCAAGAGATTCACGGGACTAAAATCCCGAACGAGCAGAGTACCAAAGTGTTCGGTAGTTTGGGTTTCGCGGTGGGGAAAACCGACTCGAAAGCGTCTACGAGTAATGAACCGGGGAATTCGAAAAAGGATCAAACGGAGGTTAAAGCGCAGAACGGCGAGATTCGTTCGTGCACCGCTGGCAGAACTGAAGGCAAAACCAGTCGTTTAGCGAGTCCTTTGGCCTTGAAGAGAGACGACTTTCTGCCGCAGCAAGCTGGTGTTGGTGCCAAGTCGTTAGACTCTCGCGAAAGCGCTCCGAAGAGCGAGGAACAACACAATAGCAGAGAAAGTTCGATATCGAGGAGCGAGGATAGCGGTCAGAAGAGACCGTCAATACCGAGATTAGGTCGTGTCGCGATGAAGAACGAGACCAAGATTACCAAGTCATCATCGAGTTCGTCGACTAAGTCTGATGGATCGAGAGAGAGGAGAAGCTCGACGCCAAAGTCCGATACCAGCTCGTTGTCGAAGCTTGTTGAATCTTCTAGGATAGTTGAGGGACACTGTCAGGAACAGAACAAAGAAGTCTCTACGTCTAAAAACGATGGTGTCTCCTCTGCGAAAGATTCCTTTCAAAGGTAGCCGCTCAATTCTTGTAAAGTACATGAAATTTCGAAATCTTTTTCACATTTATTTAATTTTTAAATATCTCTCGTTTTTCCTGTTGTCGATATGTTTTGTTGTTAGGAAGGAAAGTGGAAGTGTTTTGTTTCGATATTTCGTATTCTTAAAAATAGCGTACGGTGCCACGTGTCCGAATGAGAGTGCCAAAATTAATTAAACAGTCAAAGTATTTCTCTAATATTATACATTCATAATTTCTTCGTTGATATCTTTCTGCACAATTGATGCACACTTTTTCCACGTACACTTGATACAATTAATACAATTGATACAATTAAGAGAAGAATCTTGCACAAATCTAAGTTCAATCTCTTTGATTCTTTTTCACTATCGACAAGTATAAGTACATCGTCTATACTATCTCTCACACGATTTTTCTCATTTTTTCTCGATTAAACAGCAACTCGTCGCATAGCCGATCGACGACACCGCAGTCGCGAAGCGGCTCAGCGAAAAACCTCAGCCGACAAGCGATGCGAACCGATTCGTCGAACGGGTCCGCTGTAAATGTGCCAATTGGCAGATCGAAATCGTCGTCGGCCAGTTCGGTGACGAGTCAGGGTGCAAAAATAAAGACGACGCCGCCGCCATCGCCGGGCAGATCCTCCGCGTCGTGCTCGAGCGTCTCGTCAGTGAATCTGAGGCAGGGCGGATCACCGGATGCTCGTGGGAAACCACCTGTGCCGAAGAGCGACGCCGCGTTGGCGAACGCGTCCAAGAGCGTTGTGCCAGTGAAGTACGTGAACAAGGATTTCCGTAAGTCGACGTTGAACATGGAGAACGGCGACCCGTCACAGTCCAAGTACAGCAGGAAGAAGAAAAGTCAACGGAGCGTGTCCGCCAGTTCTCAGGATTCGCAATCCGAACCGAACTCCGAATCGAATATCCATCGTTCGGCTATTCCGTCGGAATCTAGCTCGAGTTCCGTGAAGTCGAACAGATCACGATTGAGGATACCGTCGTCGTCCAGCACGTCTTCGAAGAGCATCGGTAGGAAAAGCGAGACGAGCTGTACGTCGAGGCTAGTCAAATCAAGGAGAAGCTCGGAATCGCCTTTCGAAAAGAAAAGCAGACGCGACGAAACGTCGAGTTCCAGCGGGGAGAGCGAGTCGAACTCTACGAACTCTTCGAGCAGCGGGGAGGAGGAGGAGGAGGAGGAGGAGGAGGAGGAGGAGGAAGAGGAGGAGGACGATAACAAACAGACGAGACCCGGATCGAGGCGTCATAAGAGGAGAACGTCAAAGTCGCCTTTCTGCGAGAAGAAAGGGAAGATGAGCGCCGGATCGTCGAGAACGAGCGTGCTGGCGTCGTCCACCGACGAGATGTCTTTGACGATGGAGAAACCGCCGAGACCACCGTCCAGTCCGAGATCGAAGAACGATCGGGAGCGTTCGGGGAAAACGGAGGAGGCTAAATCGTTTTTGATGAGGGCCCTCGCGCCGGTGACGAATCTCTTCAAGAATAAGCATCAAGATTCCAGCGAGTCGGGTAAATCAGGTGGTTGGCTGGATTCCAACGAGGAGAGCATCGACGCGAGGAAGCCGGAACAGAACGGCGGCGGGACGACGACGTCTTTATCGAGGAGTCTATCGAAGAGCTTCAGTTTCACGAACTCGGAGAAGAACGACGACAGGAGACAGTCAGGCGTGAGAGTCAGGAGGAATTTTTCCGGGGAACAGCCATGGTGGATGGATCCGAACACCGACAATGTTCCCGAAGGTGTCGAAACGAGTAGCCTGTGCAACGACGAGATCAGTCAAGAAACGACCGTCAGTAGTACCTTACCTGACGATGGTAAGTCGGCATTTTCAACTTTAGATCTCGAACAGATTTTTCGAACAGCCACTTCAAACAGTGAATTCTTTTGATACGTAGGCGTAAAAACAGCGACGGAATTTGGCTGTGTTTGACGCGTGTTTACCGTTTTGAAATTTATGAGAAACAGGCTTAGCGATATGAAATATTTTGTAATAAATTATCAGGATTTCCAGAGGGGGCGTGTAGTTGGTTTAAAAAAACGATTTTTTTCAATCTTATTTTATCAAGTGAAAGAAATTAAAAACAATCCGTCAATCCGATTTTTGTGTCGCTTAGCGATTAAAAATAGTTGAAAAAGGAAATGATTTAATAATCAGAAGACACGAACCCTTCCAAACTAAATAATAATTCCACAACTGGTTTAGTCGTTCTATTAGTCTGTGTAATTAATATTCCTTAAATGTTTAAAAGGATGACAAAACGCACGTTTATTACCAAAATCAGATGCAGTTGATTGTAGTAAATTTAAAAATTGCTCTCTTACAAAAGACGAAAAATACAACCTGTTACGTTTCTCATCTACATCGCATACCTTTCGCAATCGCAAATTATCAACGTGATTTATTTATCTCTGATATGTCCTTTCTAAATCATTTTTTCGCACGTACATTTTTCGCCCCTCCTTTCCAACTACGAAGACAGAAACATAAATCAGTGCGATTCGTTTGGATAAACCATCTCCCCTAATTGCGTGTTCCCAGGCAAATTTAAATACAAAGTGTGGAGACAAGAATCGGAGGAACGAGCCTGGTGGTTGGACTCGAACGACAGCGGGGCCTCGGAGGACGCGAGGAAACAGTCGGCAACGATCTCGAGACAAGAATCGGGGGAGAAGGCTTGGTGGCTAGATTCCAACGATAGCGCTCTGTCCGAAGAAACGAAGAGACAATCTTCCTCGACTGTTTCGAGGCACGACTCCGGCGACAGGGCTCGCTGGTTAGACGGAAACGACAGTGTAATTTCCGAGGAAGCGAAAAAACCGCCGCGATCGGCCGTATGGAGGGAGGAATCGGGGGAGAGGGCATGGTGGTTGGATGGAAACGATAATGCTCCGTCGGACGAATCGAAGAGACAATCGTCCATGGCTGCGTCCCCTGTTTCGAAACGAGAATCCAGCCGTTCGAGCACCCGTTCCAACGAACGAAGAAATCGACTCAGGCATCAGCAGTCTGGCGAACAGCCATGGTGGATGAACGACAATCCTGAAAACGTACCGGAAGGAGTCGAGGTCTTTCCTGTCGCTGCAACTCCCACGCAGAACAGCAACAGTTACAACGACGAGGTGGACGACAGTCAATCGTACAGCAGATGTACGAGCAATGTCAGGCACATCGAGTCTGGTGAGAAGCCGTGGTGGATGGACAGCTCGTCGAACGTTCCTGATGGTGTCGTTAAGATTCCCGTGGAAACATCGAACAGCACCAGCGACTCGTCCGAATCGTTCGAGAGGATCGATATCGGCGTTAACCCTGAACCTGAGATATACGCGAAGAGAAGCCTTTCTAGATTCCCTATCGAGTTTCCGCCACCTCCGCCCGACGAGCCGCTTGGGGATCGCGCCAGTCCCGAAGGGGTAAACCGATCATATATCGTGCATTATTCATTTAACGATCCCTAACTGACGAAACTGTAGGTACTTCAAGCCCCGATAATACGCCACATCGTAAATCTTCAACGTCGTGCGCTTGACAGCGATGAGAGAATAAAGTCTTTAACGTAATTAGTCTCTTGATTAAGAAATCGAGTGGTTTCCCTGAGGGATAAAACGATGAACGTGTGAAAATCACGGTTACGCGATGCTACCTTTGACGAAATATCTTGTAATACCTTTAACATCTTGCGCTGGAATGACGTGTCACGCACGTCGAGAATATTTTGCCCAAAATTGCAATTATACATTTTCTCAGTGTTAAGTATATTGATTTATAACCCAGGCGAAACAAATAATAAATTTGTTACTTCTTAGTAATTTCTATCCGGTGATATACCGATGAATTAAAAAAAAAGACGAATTATTGTATACGGTTTGGTCACTCAACGTTATGGTCCGTCAACCGTAGGTTAATCGTAGCTAATACGCTCGCTAATATTTTTTAAAGAAATAAGCGCCAACAGTACGTAACATTAAAAACGTAACTTTGAAAGCTAACTACAACTGTTGATTAAACTTTCAATTGGAATAAAATAAAATAATCATCTGAAATAGCAGAAAAATGTCCCATTAACAGTAATACGAATTAAGTGTTATTTCGTATTGTTTCTTTAAACGAGTCTATGTACTTGGCAGGTGGAAAATCCTCCAGATCCGCCTGATAATTATGGCGGACGCGACTCGCCTTACGATAATGTACAACCAACACCCCGAAGATCGTCACCAAGGAAACGTCCCTCCACATTACCGTTGTTCATCGGCGAACATACCAACATCGACGACCTGCTGGGCGACACGACAACCTTGTGTCCAACTCCTGTCTTGTCTCGCATCCGTAAACGCGAACGCATCGGCGAGGGTAAGTCCAAAATGAACGTAACGCGATTTAGGATCGATTGCTGCCAGTATATATATATATATATATATATATATATACGGGCGACTGTTATTTGAATTACCGATTGTGTATCGAATACGGCCAGTACCGCGTGTAGAGCAGTTGGAGACTGAGGGTTGTTAACGAGAGAGGACCAGTATCCCTTTGAAGAGAATCAATAGCATCCATCCTTTTGGGAATTGCGGTAAGCTCGACGGATGGGTGCTGAATCGTGGATAAGCGCGTGCACGTAGACACGTATACCATTAAAAGGGGAGCCGATAGGATTAGGCAGTAGTTTGTACGAACAGATTTTAGCGATTGTAATCCCCCTGATGAAAAGAAATTCGGGTTAGCGGGCAGTCGACCATCACCGACCAACTATCGTTTGTAATTGTTAGGGATATTGTTGAAGGAGATAGAAATTAATTGGAATAAAAAGGATAGCAATTAAAGACGGGAACAGATTAAGGATGTTTTATGAAAAGTAGATGAAATTGTTGCGAGCTGAATTGTTTTCTACATTTATGTAATCGCGGTTGTTGTGTTTAAATTTTACTACCAGAATCTTGAAAGTTTTAATACATTTTTGGATTGGTTAAATACTATTAAATACAATCGTGATAGTCGATATTCACTAGAGTACTAATGAAACTATAAAGATTTCTACTATGAAAGTTTCCATAAATATTTGAATATGTTCATAAGTATTTATACACTTCTCGCGTAAATTCACGTAAATTTTCAACGTTTTTGTGTTATGTGAATTAGTACTTATTTCTGTTAGTTAGATCTGTCATCGTTTATGTAGATTCAGCAGAGGACAGTTCGGAATGTGAAGAGATCGATGCCACCCAAGTGATCATCCACGATAGCACTCCGCAGACACCAGTGATACAACGACGACATCGGTACGTTTCATGTCTAACAATCGAACGTGAATTCCGAAACACACGGATGTTTGATTGTAATTAAGCAATTTTCTTCAGGGACAACGACAGACTCCAACCCGACGGCTATATTCCGGTAAGTTTTACCAACGATTTTGCTCCTCTTTCGCTTTCTCCGAGCTTATGACATCAAATTGAAGGTAACGACCAACGGTACGGACAAATGGTATTCTGTCATTTACTTTTCTATTTAAAGCATTTCCCTTATCGCAAATTCTTTGGGAATTTTGAAAAGCGCGCTGAACCGTCTCTGTACAGCACCATACTATTTGAAGTTTCATTACTTTGTCGTTCCGCGCGAAAGAACGGCAAGGGAATGCGAAACAAGCAACAAAACTTTCGTCTCTTTCGTTTCTTCTGCAGCCTGCCAGCGAGACGCGCGGTTCTTCGCGCTATATTTTTCGCGTGCAATTCTTTTCATGATCAGTAGCTGAAGGAAAGTAGTGTGTAGGTGGCCGTGGATAGGAGGACGAGTACTCGAAAAAAAAGCCAGACGAACAAAGACGAGAAGAGGGTAGACATCTAGGGGAGGAGTGGTAGCGCGCGCGACATTATTGTTTCTCATGAGGGATGTGCGAAAAGAGGCCCTCCTTTACTCCAGACTCCCTTTCCTCTCTCTTTCTTTCTTCTTCTTTTTTTTCTTCCGTTTTGCACGTAAAGTGCTAACAACAAAGGAGTCTCCTCTTCTGAAGTCACTTCCCTCTTGCTCGCAACTATCCTCGGTGTCATCTCGGAGCAGACCAAATTCTCAATTACGCGGCAGTTATTCTACGAAAACTACGAAACTATTTTGAAGTACCTTGCAATTTTTCTGCACACCGCATAGAATTACGGTACATTACCGTAGAAACAGAACGCGTGAAAATGGTATTGCTTCTTTGATGGAAATCTTCTCGACTATAGAAACTCATTTCGTGAAACTAAAGCGTCATTACGACGAGCTTCGTTAATTGACTTTTTTCAATTAGAAAGTTTCCTGCATACGTCTACAAATAATGGTATCAGTTTACTCTGACGTATATCAAAATTTATATTGACATAAAGATGTAAAATTCTAAAAGTATTGATTGAAGAAAGGGATTAACTTACAATAATAGCGCGAACGAGGAACTCTTTTGTCCTCTCGTTTCCCAGTCGACGAGTCACTCATATTTTCCTGGAGCACTATAGAATTTTATCGCAACGGTGGCACCCTCCCGCACGAGCTACCTCCCATCACGTTTCTATGGATCCAACAGCCCCTTTTGTGAGCTTGTCACCCTCGTGGGATCTCGTAGTAGCGGGACAACAATGAGCACAGCCGCACTTACGGTTACGCTCTACGTGCTGCGCCAGCTGATTATTTTTTCACCGCACAATTACCATGCCTGCCGTTTCATTTGGTACCTCCGTATCCGCGCCATCCCCTCTTTCTCTCTCTCTCTCTCTCTCTCTCTCTCTCTCTTTCTCCTCTCTCTGTCTACTGAAAACCATCATCCTCAAAAACCACCGGATGGACCGTTATGTTCTCTGGCTATCTTTGCGGAAAAATGAAAAGGGAGAGAAAACGAGAAAGACAGGAACAACTTGAGGTTTAGAACTCCATAGAAAACGGGTCACTTCGATTGGCTGAAACGAAGTTTGTTTGACGACAATATTGTGGATTTGTGGTCTTTTTAGTTAGGAACCACCGAGTTCGTTTACGACATGTATGCATGTTTGTTCAGGACGTTTTTATTGGAACGAGCACGCGGTCTGTTTCTTAATTCTTTTCCCTACTGCGGAGTTCCCTTATGAAAGGGAACGTTCTCACAAATTGGTCGAGTTGGGAGAGGTAGTTTTTCAAAGAGAGAATGTCCACAAATTTTTTTGTCAATTCAACAGCTCGGAATAAAAACGATTCTTCGTTATGTTTGAACTTTATTCCAGCAGAGTAAAAGAGCATAGTAATATCTTTAGATTTACTTTGATGTATTTCAGCTTTCCTAAAGTTTCACTTAGGAGCGAAGTAATAAAAATTTTTGTAGAATTAGTTGACACTTATTGAGCAATAAGTAAAGACAAATCATTTTTCATATTATCAATTCTACTATGTTGTGAGTCCAGTCTCTCACTTAGTCAAAATTGAAAAATTTATTTAATTTTACCTTAGTAAAAATTTAGTTTACTAAATTACAGAAGTTCATCAATTTTTTTTTTTCGATATTTGGCACAAGTTTTTATTTATATATATTATATGTAGTAGGAATTAGAAAAAAGGAACGATATTAAGAACTGTGGGAAAAATATATTTATTATAATATTTTTTAATACTTGTACGCGTTATTAGAACTTCTTTGTAATAATAAGCTAACGTAATATTAGCATTACTCTGCAATTATCTCCAAATGTGAACGTGAGAAAAATTACTTCAAAATATCTAGCACGGCTCAGTCATTATTCTATGCATATGTATATCTAAATTTAACTTTGCATCAGTGTAATGATTCATCAGTTGGTTCATTCGAACGTAAGATATAAGAGGTGATCGTCTAAATTGCTTCCGTATGACGACGACTGGTTAATCAATCAACAATAATAATTTCTTAACATGTCTTCAAACTTCTTTGATATAATTAATCCGTCGAAGATAAAAAAAATATAATATCATATAATATCACTTTTTAAGAAACGCTTAGAAATCTCAGAACGAGTACAGTGGGAGAATGAAATAATACTTTATATTCTATAGAGAAATAAAGAAGCTGCGAAGTGTTAATATATTAACAATTGTATTCTAAACTGCGTGCAGAATTTACAAATTTTATAGTCCACAATAAATACTAAATATTTAAAGTAAGCAGTCCTAAGATCTTCGAGCGGCAGTGTATATCCTTAATGGCATAATCCGGGCAAACGTAACGATTAATACCAATGTATTATTTTTAATCGGATTAATCGTTGCTTCACAAAATTGTACGTGATGGATAATGGTAAACAGCAATTTTTTTGGTAATAAAAAGCAGCAAATATTGTCTGATGGCATCGTTTCAGGGTGTCCTTTGTACATGGAACGGAATAGGGAGGGGGTTGACCGCATGGCGGCGCCACTGTCGCCTCAGTGGCGACAGGTGTCCGCGGCGTTCAGTGTCGCGGCGGCCGCTCGCGAGGTAACTCATGTTGTTCATTGTGTATTCTTTCGTTCTCTTCTCTTCTGTCTCTTTCTCTTGTTGTCCAGTTTCACGGTTCCGCGTTGCTCTCCGTCGGCGTGTCGTCGATTAATGTGTGCACTTTGAAGAGTGTCGTACGCGGTCGCGCGGGCCAAAGTGACGCGCGTTTCCGTGCGCGGGAAGCGCGCGTGTCGTTCGCGCTCACTCGAGCTGACTCGAGTTTTTGTCGCGCAGACTCCGGGCTTCGACAGTTCATATATATCTATATATCGTTCTTCTCCCGGTTGCTGCATCAAACGCTGGCTCCAAAAATCGAACATCAAGACTACGATCGATGTGATCAGGAACGATGCTTTTCGATGATTGACCGGTCGGTGTCACAGGTAACGTGAAATTTTTCATCCACATATCTAGTTTTTCGATGCACGTTCGAAAGTGGCATTAGAGGAGCTGTCAATTTAACGCGAACGTGTCACAAACGAAAATTTTTCACACACGTCTCGAGGATATTCCAATCGATACCTCTCCGAACTGTCGAATGTCTCGACTGGTGTGGACGGATACTATCCGAGCACGTTATTTACTTTGGAGGTTAGGTTAGTCGTGCGGCGTTTGAAAGCAGGTCCGGTTTTCGGAGTTATCTCGGTTTTCTCAGTCAGCATCTACTCCGATTTTCTAGCTCGATTAATTATCGCGATTCGTCGGAACGCGAGACATATCGATACTCGATTTTCGATCATTTCTACAACGATTTAATGGAACGATAGCGATTATGTACGTTCAACGATAATACGTTGTAGAGCTGTCGCTGACCAAGTTTTTCTCGTGTTATTGACAAAGTACGCAGTCGAATCGAGTTCGAGCTGTTTATCATTTCGTGTGCTTCCTGGAAATGGCCGAAGTTCCAAGAATCCACTCGAAAGGGAATTTGTATGTATTTCTAACGAAAAGTTGACTCGCATATAAAACAGACGGAGAAAGCATCGAACGGGCTCGGTGAAATTCCTTCGAGATACCGAATCGGTGAGCATACCGAGAAGTTGGCACCGGCCACCGAACGCACGAAGTTTGTCGCCCGGATCCGCGCGAAAACATCGGTTCGCCGTGGATTTGTTGATTCAGACGAGTTTGGAAATCCTCTTAGGCACGATCTTACGTTACGATCACATCTTGATCGTGAATCTTTCGTCGACTACAGGCACGATTACATTCGTGGCATGGCGCAGACTCGTTTTCCCTTCTGTCTTCCTCCCCCTCGTTTCCCTTCTCCCCATTCTTTCTCTCTCTCTCTCTCTCTCTCTCTCTCTCTGTCTCCCTTCTTTCGTCTCTGTCTTTCCTAACTACCATCCGTCTTTCTCGCTTATTCGGTACTTCTCTCTCTCTCTCTCTCTCTCTCTCTCTCTCTCTCTCTCTCTCTCTTTATTCTCCATCTTTCTCCTTTTTTCTCTTCTGTAAGCACCATCGAGCCGGTTCGCAGAAGAGCTAGCCCATGCAACGGGTAAGAACAATACGAATAAGAGAGGATGACAAGACTGGCTGGCATGCATGAATAATTGACACTTCGTAAATTCATTCCCTACGGACATCGATTTACTCTGAATTTTATCCTCTGGACGGAATACCGACGTAACGCGTGGTCCACTAAAATGCGAGGATAATTCGATTCGATCGAATTTTTGCAACGCGATCGAATCAGCCGCGCTCCGAATCGGCATTGCGATTCGCTGGACACCGTGTAGAAATTTGCGTCATGCGCGCAGCATGGAAGGTCGATGTTTTTATATTTCTCACGCGTGAGATAGGTTAGACACGGCGATCTTACGTGTACACGTTTGCACATGTATATTATGTATATCCCGAGGGAATTAGCGTATAGTAAAACTCCGTTTATACGAACTTGCGAAGATAGTTTATATAATTGAAATACATATATTAAGCTTGTAACGACCGGCGATGCTATTGTAGCGTCACGTGGTTTTCTAACATTGATGACGTTATTGTAGCACTATTAATGATACTCAGAAAATGAATTGCGATGAGATTCTATATATGCGATCATCTGTATTTATTTACTTGGATGTTTAGTACTTCTACTTTCTTAATTTTTGCAAGTTCATAGTTGTCTAACGATCGTTCCTTTGTACGTAGCGAAAATTATATTTTATAAATTCATTATAAAATTGGCCAGAGTTTGCATAGTAGTCGGTCGTTATAGCTTTAATAAGAATCCACTAGGTCTCCTTGTTATCTGTGAGTTTTCGTTCACGTAATAGGAGTTTTTGCATCAGCAGAAGTTTGTTTAATTCTCAAGTACTGTAGAGCGATTATAGAGTGGACTGCTCTTTTTCATTAATTATCTTATATCTTTATTTTATGATCTTCAATGCTATTGTTGAATCAGCTCTGAAACTACAAGATATACAAAAGCAGAAAATATTATAAATAAGATTTTCTATAGTAGTTGTGTAAGTTTCAGCGTCTATTAATATTCAAGAATTAATTAGATACAATGTAAAAATGGAGTTCGTACAAACGGAGTATTGTTTCATAGATGTCTTCATAGATTTCAGCACTGTTCTCGATTACAGTGAAATTTATTAGTTTTGATAAATATCATTATGCAGAATAATTTGGTTTATTATGTCGATGGGGTTAAAGAACGCGCGGCATGTTCGTAACCTTGGAGGTAAATGAAAATTATCTCCTCCGATTTTTCCACTTTCGGTCTCGACAAGTCGACAGACAGAGTGAAAGGAAAATCTAAAGGTCGTCGACCGATTGAAAACGACGCGGTTTCTTGCTCACCTGGTCGTTCAGAGTCAAAGGTTGTTACAGTTCCAACATTGCCACTTTCGCACACGCGGACCACAAACTGTATTATTTCATATCACATTATTGAATATTTATATTCATTACAAATTTTCATTCATTGCTATTAACCGAGTTACTAAGTAAACAAAAATTTACGTACTTCTATCCCACTGTATCATCGAGAAAGAAATTCACGTTACCATTAAATACCGAATTTCCAGATACACATTCCGAACCGATCGATCGATGGAAGAACGCGAAAAGCTACGGAGACAGAATAGCGGCGCTTTTTCCCCCTGTCACGAATCTCCGTCGTCGTTCGGACGAAAATAAATCGGCAGCTTTCCACTCGCGCTCTTCTTCTCTCTCTCTCTCTCTCTCTTCGCCTTTCTCATAAAACAAATTCACGAACGAACGACGAGAAGCGACGACGAGAGAAGGTCGGTAATAGAGAAAGAGAATATCGGTTCGCCGCGATCAAGGTATTCACGTGAGCCTCCGGCTGTTTCGTCGTCGGAGCCGGTAGACGCGAATGGAACGTGAGGAGGAAGAAAGAGACACGGAGAAAAAGGAACAGCGGGCCGACGCGGATGGTGGAGACAGCGTCGCACGAGAGAGAAGGAACGAGAGCAAGGTTCGTTTTCTCGGTTGGTTGTAGCCGGCGACTCGAATGAAAATAAATCGGCGGTACGACGAACTGGTTCGTTCGTTCGCGTAAAGCGGTCGTGCGGTCCGGCAAAAGAGAGAAAAGACAGAAGGAGAAAGGAGGAAGAGACGTTTTATATACACATATATACACGTACGTGTGTGTGTGTGTGTGTGTGGTACGCGAGCGCGAGTGAGAAGAGAGTAGAAGGACTGTGCGCGCGACGCGAAACAAGCCTGTGTGTTGCCTTCTTTGGATCCTGGGGGAAAAAAAGGCCCCTATCGGACAACAATCGGCCGTTGCGGCCGAGATACAGAGAGGCCGCGAGATGTCTCTTACGTGTCGAGTCCAGTATCTGAATGACGTGGATCCGTTCGCCTATGCAAGCTCCTATCCGGAGCCACCTAGGCCGCCTGTGCACACCTTCAGCGCGACCTTGCCACTAATTAACCAGCTCGCAGCGGTGCATCGACTTCTACGGGCGCCTCACAGGGTGAGTTCATCTTTCTCGCTTAGGGAACGACAAGCGTTCCTCTTAATTCATCGTTTATCGAGAGGATCGCGAGCGAGGGCGAGTTAATGCTCCGTCAGCAGCCCACGGCGCCGCCTTGCGCGCCCTATCTATCGCCAAAGTATAAATCGTAGGATTTTCCGCGCGCAGCTAACCATGTGCTTGATTGCTTAACCCTCGAATAGCCGACGCGGCGAGCCGACATCGGGTCACTTTGCACTTTTGACCATAGTTGAATTTTTACTATACTTGCTTTGCACTTAACTTTTTGGTACAGGGTGTTATCTAATAATGTTCATAATATGGACAGCAGAGGAGTTTATTTAAAAAATGTAAAATTTTTACATTTATGTGCACTGTGTACATACAACGTTATTGTGTTTTATAACATGTTCTTTGCATATAAATCGTAAATATTTGACACATTTGGTACCATATTTGTTATCATCGCCTATTCATATATATATATACAGACACATATATAGTTCTGGGTCAACGATGACCCGGTGTCGGCTACGCGATGGTTAAGAGCTAGAACTACCGAAACGGTCAACATGACCATTTGAAGATTTTTTATTAGATATTTTATAGATATGAAACAGCCTCTTTCTAATGATTTAATGATTAGACGTCTCTTGCATTGCTTAGACGTTAGATGTTGAGGTTAGCCGAGAGGAAATTCAACGACATGCGTAGGTCGGTTAGAACGAATGATATGAACGTAGATATGAATTCTAGTGGTACTATTGCGAAGATTTATTAAAAGTGTCATTCAGATTTGGATAATTTTGTGTGATGTTGATGGTTGTTGTACTTGATATATTACACGTTGTTACTTGATAATGTCTTTGATATTCTAAAAGATAGAACATGATACAATGAGAATTTTATTTGAGAGAAAAACGATATGTCAGTTAATTTACTTCAACTTATTGTTAGAATCCGAGGACTCATAATTGTCACGATTAATTCATTCGGTACAATTGTAGATATATGAGCGATACACATAACTGTCGAGTTACACGCTATTCCAGAAGATTAATTAATTATACAGTTCTCTCTTGCTAATTTCCATTTTGAAAAACGAAGTAGAAAATGACAGCGCCTATTTCAAACATCAAGTTCGAAACACATTATCATTACAACGACGTAAAATTACCGCGAGCTTCTGATAAAGTTCATTCACGGCTATTAAAGCGTCTTTCAAAGAAATGGTCGAGCAGGTTCGTCATCTACGGTCCTCTCGATAAGCGACAATGATGAATAGGTACGAAAAGAATGCCACGGTTGGTGTTTAAACAAATGTTTCACGATAACGGAAAAATATGGCGCGGGTGTTGGTATGGTAATGCGAGGAGATCTATCTGTAACGGAACCTCTTTGGAGGCTGGGGAGGGACAGGAATTATTCTCATCGTCAGACAGGATTCTCGTTTAATGCTGCCACTTAGAGCATCAAGGATTCTCGAGACCGCAGAAATTTCCCGCCAGGGACAGGTTTCCCTTTTACCCAACCCACCCTTAACGCCTGCCTCCTCGCGTAATACGTACACGGAAATATATTTATATCCGTGGACAAAATCGCGCCGGAGAGGGATGAATTTCCTTTCCTCTGGATGTATTAATATTTATGAAATCCGCTTCGATATGAACCGAGGCGTAATATATTCCTGGAAATTTTTCTCAAATAACTCGAGTTACCGCGGAGGAATATTCAAATTAATTTTTCTTTCTTTTTTTCTTTCGTTGAGGCCCGCGAGAAACTACTTACCGATGACAACTTTATCAGGTCATGTCCTAAGTAATGTAGCCTCTTATATCGCACTTTGAATTTCTCAGATAAACTTGAGCGGTGATTATGCAAATTTACAGTTAACTATTGGAGAAATTGCAAATTACATTCGCACAGAAGTGATTAATATTAATGAATAGAACGCGGATGTTCATGCAAATTTCGATTTTTATGAATGGAAGCAAGTACGACGTACGTATGTAAAAACCTCTTCTATAATCTTGCGTGTGCACATTCGTACATTTCTGCACAGTTAATTAAATTTTCCATGAATGCAGTCTGCTAATGAATCAAAGGGGGATTTTATTTTATTATTAGCTTCAACCTTGATATTAACACTGATATTTAATAAAGAGCAAAAAATTTGACAATCTTAAAATAGTAATAAAGTAAATAGTAATAAAGTTTGAATCAAAATCTCTCGACGGTAAAAGAACAAAGATGACATCAAGGAAACGACTTTGATTTCATTCAATTTCGAAGTGACAGATACGAGATTTTAGGAAATTTCCTTCCTGAATCAAATCTAAATCAAATATTAGGCGAGAAATTCTAGATTCACGTCCATCTAGCCACTGAAGGAATGTACCGAAATACATTGCACCCATGGAATGTCCGGGGCAGCGCTTCGAAACTTTTTACTAAATCACTTTGGAAGTATTTCTACTCGCTGATCTCCCCTGGAGCACCGATTAGATTAATTCCCAATCAGAGTACCATTAACCGAACTACCCATCCTGAAACTTTCCTCGAAACCACGTCGTCCGGTATCACGACGTTAGCTCGCCGACGATTTAAGACGACCGGTGATATTACATCGAATCGCTGGAACGGGGTACGGATGGTATCATAAATTACATCGTCGCTGATGGAAAAATAGAGGGAAACTATGGGCCGGATGCGAGGCTGCGAACGATCCACTAGCATCGGCTACAGCGTTTTGCCGAACTTTACCTTGGGCTTGAGTAATTCTTCAAAATTTATTATTAGATGTCGGTCGCGCGATATCGAGGCAGCGATTGCACGCTTCTCAAAGTCGTTTGGTCCGGCTAACTATTATAAATCGACGTTATTAAGCACCTAGCCAATGGAGAAATATACGCTCGGCGTATTACAATAGAGAATGGAGACGAAGAAAGAGAGAGAAAGAGAGAGAAAGAGAGAGAGAGAGATCATAAATTTCGTGCGCGTAACTATATTCATTAATGGCCAGAGAATCTTATGGGATCTCCTCCGGTTGTCGTTGCTGCTACTTGCTCTCTCTCTCTCTTTCTCTCTCTCTCTCTCTCTCTCTCTCTCTCTCTCTCTCTCTCTCTGTTTCTTCTCGAGAACTCGATTGCGTATAGCTGCGTGGCGTTCGTGGCTTCGCGACCTGGCACGTTTACGTGTTTCATTCATTGGATCGCGCGAGCGTACTTTGCGTAAACGCGAACGGCATATACATACGTACATACATACACACGTGCATACATACATAGGCGGCTGGAGCCGCGATCTCGCGGGTAGCTGCGGCTTCGTGCATTCACCACGAGGCTTATCTTTCGGTGATTGTTACTGCTCGCTCGCCACGTACTGCACGCGCGTTAATTAATATCTAGCGTATGAACGCTGAATGTGTAACGAACAACGATCGATGGCGGCTAATTTTTATTTTCATCTTTTACCAGACGTAAGGAGTATTTTAACTTGTTGTCTTATAACATCGAGTCACGAACGTAGCATGAATTGTGGTTTTGATCGGGCAGAAATGACAAACTGTAGCCCCGTGAAGTTTGAATTTCAAAGACGTAGCGTTTCCATACTTTAGAATGGTAATAAATTACAGTAACCAATGCATATCGAAAGAGATTGAACTCTCGTGGAAAATTTCTTGACGTCAGACTCTGTTAGAGAAAGGAACGATTTAATTCGTTTTATTTACTGTTGTTAATGCGGAATGGAATAAAACGTATTATACAGAAAGTGTAAACAGAGTATCATAGGCAGGAGTTACTGTCGTGGAACATAAAAGAAAAGAGTAGTTGGCTTGGGAGTATAAAGAAAGAATGCGACAGCTTAAAACTGAGTAGCGACAGATTTATGAAAAGTGAGGAAGAACAATGGATCAGACGTTGCTTTTGAGAAAGGAGTTAAATTGTAAAGTTAGCTCGACAAGGACGGGAAAAGTATACGCGTAAAGAGAGAGAGAGAGAGAAAGAGAGAGATAGCAAAAATTGAAAGAAAATAAGAAAATATAGCGTAAAATTTTATATATTTTTTTAAAGCTCACAAGCTAACACAAATTTATTTGCGTTATAATTTAGATATTCCTCTATTAGAATGAAATATCTTACAGTACAGAGGTAACTCGTAGACGGAGAATAAAGGGTAACAAAAGGTTCTTCGATTTCTTTGCTCGCGCAACATTCTAAGAGTCGGTCATTAGCGTAAACAGTATAAACAGGTTTTCGCTCCAATTTATCACCGCGCGAACGTTTCATCTCGTTTGCTTCCTCCATCGTGGATGGAAGCCTCGTTCCCATTAAGTACGAGCAACGTTCCGATATTCTGTTTCTACTTTCCTTCTCTCTCGCAGTTTTCATCCTTTCTTCTTCGGTTACCGACTTCAAAGTCTCTTCTAGTTAAAATGGAATTGACTCTTCTTCGCGTTATATATCGATGAAAACTCCACCTTCAGCGAAGGATTGCTTCAATTTGTGCATCTGAAACTCCTCCGTTTTGCCGGTATAAATGACATGCACGCGTCCGAAGCTTTATAAGTCGTATCCAGTTAATGTTACCGGAACGAGTTAAAACGTTACCGGTCGACGATCCAGTTTCTCGGTGACTCTAGACTCCCAAGGTCTGCTCGTTAGCTCGCTGTGAATCGTAGAACACGTTGGTTGCTGGCTCGTTACACGGTGTCGGCTATCATTTTGACAGCCACCGGTGGAACCGTGCTCACGGAAGGTCGGTCGCTCGGTCGGTCGCGTCGCGGTCGCGAGAGCGGTTTTACGATCGTGTCCAGATAGCTTTGTCCACGGTGACGCCTTTGCGGTGCTCTGCTTTGACACGTTGACGCGCTTCATTCACCTAATCGCGCGACCGTGCTTTGTGCAAACTATCCAGTGGGACGTGCACGCGTGTCCATTTGGCGCTAGCTAGAATCGGGGACAAACAGCCGGTGAACGAACAATAGACGAAGATATAGACTAGACAGTACTGAAACGGAGAACGAATGAACAATGAGAGGAAACGAGAGAGTCAAATAGACGGATAGCGAGAGAGAGCGAGAGAGGAGGGGGAGAGATGGAATATAAAGAGAAAAAGGAGAAGGATAGCCAGGGTAGAGAGAGGTCACGCGACATGGGCGCAGAAGCGCAGCGAGCGCAGCGAGCGTGC